GTTGTTTGAAAATGTCATAATAAAGTCTAATACTTTGTATGCTAATTTATAGTCTTCTTAGAAAGACTGAAGGAGGAATCATGGCGCTGGCTGGAAAGCGACAGCATTAAAAAGACTTACTTTTCTCCAGAACATAAATTAAGCCTACAGGCTTTCTCACACAATAGTTGTACATTTCTGTATTTCAGCAACTTATTAGCATGAATTTACTAACACAGAAGTCACGTTTCACTGTTGCGTGTTATTACTTGACAGTTTTACAGCCATCATGATCTTTTTTTTGTTTTTCAACTCATTTCTGAGTAATGGTGAAATGTAACTTGGCTTGGTGGTCACCTGAAGTGACTGACCTACAGCCAAGAAACTGGCTGAGGGAAAGTCTTCAGGATTTCAGAAGAACTAATTCTATTACATTTGTTTCTTCTTTCAACCCAAGTTTTAGTCAATTATCTAAATGTTTTGTCCTCCACTTAATAAAAGATTTAATAGGTGATTCTATACATTCCTGATTTAATCTTATTTTAATGCATTTTCATTGGTATGCTAATCCCCTTAAGGAATACATAATTAGCTTAACTCAGCAAGTTTTGAGGCTTTTCCCAAGAATGTAATATTGAATCTTAAATTTGGTTAGGTATTTATATTCTTTTATTAATTTTTAAAGATACTATATGAAGCAATGGATTTCCTTGGGCTTTTTCATACAGATCTTGTTCTTACTATCTGTTTTCTCAACTTACCCTTCCCAGCCTCATGTTTCCCCTTTTTAATTAATGGTCCACTTCCTTTCCCTAGTGACCCCTTTAAGGGATGGCTGCAGGAGACTTGGCCAGGCAGTTAGTATTGTACATAAGAAAGGTAGCCACCATCTTGGTTCCTAGGACCAGATGTTAAAGAGAATAACCTGGAGTTTGATAGAGCCAAGCCTTAGGTGATTGATCAGATCAGCCTTGGTAACCTCTTATCCACTATAGAGTTGAAACTCAGAAGCTCCATCAGTTGACACTGACACTGACCTCTCCAGCAGGGTGACCAATAGTGAATGTTGAAAGTAGAAAGTCGGGCCGGGCGGTGGTGGCGGTGCACGCCTTTAATCCCAGCACTCGGGAGGCAGAGCCAGGCGGATCTCTGTGAGTTCGAGGCCAGCCTGGACTACAAAGCGAGATCCAGGAAAGGCGCAAAGCCACACAGAGAAACCCTGTCTCAAAAAAAAGTTATAAAAAAAAAAAAAAGAAAAGAAAAGAAAGTAGAAAGACGGATGCGTACCTGTATAGGTCAGTGTCGCCACTTCCTCCTCTCCAGAGCTAGATCATTGGCCACCCCAGGAGGAACCAAGTAGGGAGGTTTGGCAAGGTAGGAGGCCCTGGCCAGCCCACAGACTGAAAAAGGATGATGGTATAAATTCAACTTTCTAATAAGGAACAGTTTACCAGGGTTGCCTGCCATTTTATTGCTTGCTGGGTTTTTTGATCATGGAAGTTTTATCATGATTTTTATTTTTTAACCTATTTTTATGTTTAATATTGCCTACTTTATATTTCTTATTAAAAAAAACTATTTGAGTCTTAGTTGTTTTAACCAATCTAACTCTGGGTTTAAGCTTTTTGTATTTCATACCAATGTTGATTTGGCTAAAGTTTACCATTTTATTTTTTTCTTTATTTTCCCTTTCTACTGTGATTTTAATTTAAATATTGTTTTTATGCTTTAATTTTGCCCTTTTTGTTGACCTACTGTAAATACTGCTTTAGTGGCTGTCTTAGGTTTTTTTTAGCCCACCTTTGAGTTTTGTCTTTAGTAATACTACATGTCACTGATTGTTCTACAACTCTTCGGCAGTGTGTGTCTGGCCTCTTCCAGCTTTGCGCCGTTTCTCCGCTGGTGTTATTAATACTGTCCTGTGCAGAGATGTCATTCACTGAGGCACTTCCTATCTGCCTGCACGCTTGACTTTCTCTGCACCCATTGCTCTCTAATGCCTTGTATAGATCTGGGTTGTTATTGACTATTGTCTTTAGTCAGCCTGATAGATGCCCTTTAATATTAATTAAGATGCCATAAAAATATGGACAGATGACTTTATAAATATGTATAAAACTCTTGGTGAGGCCGGGCAGTGGTGGCACACGCCTTTAATCCCAGCACTCGGGAGGCAGAGGCAGGCGGATCTCTGTGAGTTCGAGGCCAGCCTGGTCTACAGAGCGAGATCCAGGAAAGGCGCAAAGCTACACAGAGAAACCCTGTCTCGAAAAACCAAAAAAAAAAAAAAAAAAAAAAAAAACTCTTGGTGAAAGACATTGGACACAAAAATTTTTTAAGGATGGGAAAAAGTACTAACAAAATATCAAAGTCACAACAATAAATATTCTGAAAAAACTCCAGTAGCACAGTAAGTGATCCCAAGAATTGAGCAATGGAACTATGAAGTTATAAAGCTGCTTTGCAGCAAAGGAAATATTCACCAGAGTGAAAAAGACAGCCTATAGGATGAAAATAAATCTTTGCCAACTACACATCAGACAGAGTATTATTATCTAAAATATATAAAGAACAACAAAAACTAAACCTTCGCATTCCTAATCACCCAATAATAAATAGACTGATGAACTGAATAGTCTGTTCTCAAGAAAAGGAATACAGGAGCTGGAGAGACTGTTCAGTGGTTACAAATGCTTGCTACTCTTCCACAGGACCAGCCTGGTTCCCAGCACCCACCTCAGGGGCTCATAACTGCCTCTAACTCCAGTTCCAGCTCTTGCACGAGCATGTGTGTGCACATTTATGAGTGAATACACACACACACACACACACACACACACACACACACACACACACAGGAAAGTAAATCATTTTCTACATTTTTAGATTTTTAATTAAAATCTAATTACATCGCTTCTCCCCTTCCCTTTCCTCCCTCCAATCCTTTCCATGACCCCCTCATTTTGATGGCCTCTTTTTCTTTGATCATTATCGTTAACACACATACACATACACACACACACACACACACACACACACACACACACACAGGGAGAAGGAGAGAGAGGGAGAGGGAGAGAGAGAGAGAGAGAGAGAGAGAGAGAGAGAGAGAGAGAAGGATGAGATGCGATTATATAAATACAACCTGCTAAGTCCATTTGGTGTTGCTCATGTGATTTCAGGGCTGACCATTTTGTATTGAAAAACCATTTAGGGGGCTCATCCCTGGGAAAGACTTAATTCATTCTCTCTTAGAAGTCAATAGTTTCCTGTTGGCCTTTGTCTGTGGGTGGGGGCCCCTGGGAGATTTCCCCACATAAGTATGTCTGTTGGTGTTGTCATTGAGATTTTCTTTAGGCAGCCATTTTGTTGAAATATTGTGGGTGTAGCTCCCTTGTCATTTCTAAGAGACGGTCTCATAGCAGACTTCCTGGTCCTCTGGCTCTTGCACTCTTTTCACCCCTCTTCCTCAATGCTCCCTGAGTCTTAGGTGTACAGTTGTGCTGTAGATTGATCGCTGGGGTGGGCTTCCCCAGATCAGCTGATTATAACCCTTGTGGTTTTCTGTAATGGGCTCTGTGAGAGCTGTACTTCCCTGTGAGGACACAGTTAAATTTTAGAAAGCAGTTGGGAATTATACCGGTCTAGTGAAGTGGGGCAGTAAGTTCTCCTCTAAGACGCATAACCTCACTAGCTCTGGGGAGTTAGATGTTAAAGTGAATGACAGCTTACTGGTATAGTGGAGTTGAAAAGTGACCGGCCAGGAGGAAGAGAGAAACAGGATGCAATGTCTAGAGAGGGGTTTTCAGTGTGTCAAGTCTGTGTCTCCCATCAGATTATACACATGTTCTCTGTGAGTATACTATATTACGTAAAGAAAAAAGCCTTAGAATATGTGAACAGAACCTACCTAGGTTTGGTGTTTTTGAGTTGAGGGAGATAGAGATATTTGCACATCCACATTTATTGCTGTATTATTCTCAATGTGTTTTCATACTTGTATGTGCCTAGCAGTCTTAGAAAGATGCATACCAATGTATTTACAGTGGTTATCTGTGAAAAGAAATTATTTTTTACTTTTTAAATGTTCCTGTTGCCTGAATTTTATAATAGTTCCTATAATCATTTTGGAAATAAAACAATTTTTTAAATGGCGCATTATATATAATTGCCAAAAATACAGAAAAACTGAATCAAGACCATTTTCCCCAAGGTTTCAGAAGCAAATGATCATAATTTTTCTGTGAGGCTTAAATGAAATTTTACTTTTAGAAATAAGATGCTGACTCTCCCTATACAAGACACAAATTAATAGTAAGAATGGTCTTTTAAATTGTGTGACTTTGATAAAAGTTTCTGTTGTAAACTATTACTTTACACTGGAAATTGTGAACACCATGATTTACAAGACTTTGGGAAATCAAGAGTCCTAATTCAAATTCAGATATTCATTGATCATTAATACACATCTGTGTCGGACTTAAAGAGATGAGAGCAAAGATCTGTTCATTCTAGAAAGAGCACTGATCAGACCAAAGAAACACATCTGTCTCAGTGAAACAGTGAGCTTATTGAGGTTCCGTAGAGGGTCAGAGGTGAGTGGGGTTGCTGACTGGGACATGGGTACCTCAAATTCAGCTCCAAATGCAGCTCCAGCACCAATGACCCACTCTCCATGTGGAGCGATTCCACATGAGCCCGGCACTAGACCCCTGCAGACAGTCTCATCTCCCTAGCATGTTCTTTGTTCTTTTCTTCTTTGTCCTTCTATAACCTTCAGGATCCTCCTGAGCTTTGTAAAGGAAAGCAGCACATCTAAAATGTTACCCCAGGAACTTAAACTGCAAGTGGAAACATGAAGGAGGGATGGATGTAGAAACTCCACATTAAAGAGAACAGAGCATTTCTCATCCCAGTCCAGTAACCCCAGAATTTTACATGGACTATCTGGAAGATAAAGGACAGCTGCTACTTCACAGCACTGATTTTAACTAAATACCTACCTCTTGTCTATCACACAGCAATCAGCAAGCCTTTTTACTGGAGAATGTCCCATGCAATAATGCAAGCTGTGAGGAAGTGCATCGGATGTTTAAAGTCTACTGGGACCTAGCAGGCCTAAATCTAATCAAAGACGCCGTGGTTGCCACCTTTTTTGATATCTATGAAGATGTGAGTTCAGAACTGTCCTGTGTGCTTAGAGTTTAATTGCTATCTAGATCATTTCACTGTAGCTTCATATACGAGCAAATGGAATGAGAATGATTCATTAAAGAAAACCTTTTAATGTTAAATAGGGGTGGGGGCTGACTAATGTTAGGAATAGTTGATCTCTGTAGTTGAATATGAAAATGTTAGCTCTTCTTGTACTTATTTGGAATAAACTGCTGCAAAATTGTGCTTTAAGACTAGCAGATGTACATGTTCATCAGCTGACCGAAAGCAGAACCAACAGGTACCCACACAGACAGCAGAAGAGTGCATCCACCACACTTATAAAGTGAAACAAGGCATCTCTGCTGCCACTTCTAGGGCTCTGTCACAGTTGCCAAGTGAGCTGGTGGAAGACTCTGTAGGTACCTGGCATCCACCTTGGTACCTGGCATCCACCTTTCTAAAGAGAGTTCTAGTTTCCTACTTAGAGGAAGAAAAAAAGCTTTTAAAGAATATAAAGTTAACTTATCCGCATATATCCTTGCAGATAGTTTACTGTAGAAAGTAAAAGCCCATCAGGACATTTATGTCTTCATTAACCTTTCTATTTTGTTGTTCTATTTTGCTTTGAGTTTAAGAGGCTTATACTCAATGATGAATTATTGATACCCACATTTCCTTCTGCTTTTCCTGCTGCCAAATCTCATTTCATTTCATTTTTCATTAGCAGTTTCCAAGCATAAAAGTAATTGGTAGAAATATTACAAGAGAAAAAAATCAACAAAATTGCCTACAAATCAATTTTTAATTTCTATACATCAAAAAATATAATAAATGAAAATTTAAATTATTTTTAAATATGGAAAATAGAAATGCTACAAATGAGTGAAATAATTAATATCCTTAATATAAAAGTATTCATAGAAACTGATGTCACCAAAAATTCTCTAGAAAAATATAGTCAATTTACAGGAAAAAATATGCTGCTAACATTTATAAAATGAAAATGAGTAGCATCATGAGATGCAGAAGAGTGTCAACTTTAAATTAATGTTTGTTTTTTCTACAATAAAATGAACTGAATTTCTACGTGTTAAAGAGGGAGGGAAAGGTGGTACCAGTGCCGCAGGCCCCGCAACAGGGAACTTGGCCCCGTTTGCAGAGGAGCTGAAAATTCCTGCACAAAGTAGTGAGCTTCTACTACATGTAAAAAGCATATGCTGCAAACGTCTGGAAACCTGAGTTGGATCCCCAAAACCTTCTGTGAAAAAAGAGACTCAATTCCCGAAAGTTGTCCCTGACTTCCACATTACACTCCCTATGTATGCCTCACACACACAGTAATGGGTCTAAAGAGGGAATCTTAGGGCTAAGTGTGCTGACACACACCTTTAATTCCAGTACTTTTGAAGCAGAGACAGGTGGATTTTTGTATATCTGAGTCCAACCTGATCTACAAACTTGGCTAGCCAGTTTCAGGCCAGCCAAGGCTACATAGTGAGACTCTGTCTTAAAAAAAAAAGAAAAAAAAATTCACTGTGCATGTACATATGACCAGAAGGAAATATAACAAAATGTTAACAATTACTTCCCAGGACTATTTTCTTTTTTATTTCCTATTTAAATTGTGTGCATATATTTTCAGTAAACTTATTTCAAACATCAACCTACTAAGGTTGTACAAATGACAAACTCCCTGAGAAAATTAACTTCCAAGGACGAAGGGTTTCAGTCCACAGTCACTAGATCCTGTCTCTTGGCCAGTGCAGCACACAGTACACCATGTCAGGAGCACATGGCAGAGGAGGCCAGCTCACCTGTGATGGCCTAACAGCAGAGAGAGATAGGAGAAGCTGAAGTCACAACACCCCTTCAGGGACATCAGGAACATACCCATGTACAGGCCTTATCTCCCAAAAGATCCCACCACCTCCCACAGGCTGCCAAGCAAGTCTTTAACATGTGAGCCTTTGGTGTAAATTATCCAAACTATAGCACAAGTCACACAGTGGTCTTTTTCTTTCACCTAGTAGTACAATTTTTGTTTTTTCAGGGAATTTTGGACATTATAGTACTCAGTAAAGGATACACCAAGAATGATGTCGCCATTCATACACTCAAAAATAACTTTGAAGCAGATGCTTATTTTGTTAAAGTCATTGGTGAGTATTTTAGATGTTACCATTCATCTTGTTTTCCTCCTTCCTTCCCTTTCCTCTCTCTCTTCCCTTCTACTCATTTTCTGGTACAAGTGCACACTCCTGTGTAATGCATGTACAACCTCTAGACCAGGAAATGAACTTCAGCAGAACATCGTGCTAGCTATACATAGGCCCCATTCAGATATACCAGCTGTCCCAACAATGACTCTCTTCCCCTTCTGGTTTAGTATTCTGCCCAGGATATGTTGAATTTTTCACATCTTTCCAGGCTTCCTCAATCTAGGACACTTTTTCAGTCATTTTCTATTTTTATCTCCATTGATTTTAAAGAATGCAAATTTTTTATTGTTAGATAATCCTGTTTCCTCACTATCTAACTCCAGTTACCCATTTTTGGCAAAACTCCACAGCAAGGAATTGCAGAGCAGGGATTCTGCACTTCCAGGTCATTGGACCAGGAGGCACATGGTGCACACTGCTCACCTGCTCACAGAGATGAACAGTTTGGTTTTTTTTTATATGTGTATGAGTGTTTTGCCTGCATGTACGTATTGTGTACCTTATATGTGCCTGTAAGCCCTCAGAGGTCAGAAGAGGGCATTGGATCTCCTTGAACTGAAGTTACATACTGTTGTGAACCACATGTTGGTGTTAGAAACAGAATCCTGGTCCTCTGTGAGAACAAGTGCTCCTAACCACTGAGCAGTCTCTTTACCCCTGAGATGACCAGTTGTTTGTTTGTTTGGTTTTTAATTTACTTTATTTTATGTGCATTGGTGTTTTTCCTGCATGTATGTCTGTGTGATGGTGTCAGGTCCCCTGGAAGTGAAATTATAGACAGTTGTGAGCTGCCATGTGGGTGCTGGGAATTAACTCAAGTCAGAAGAGCACCTAGTACTTTTAACTGCAAAGCCATCTGTCCAGCCCCAAGATGACCAGTTTTCTCTCTCCTGCATTCACTGTTTTTCCCTTCCCCATTCCTACAGACAGACATTCTGATATTACTTGTATCCTTTTTATATCAAACTTTTACCTGCTACCATTGGAGTCTATTGATAGCTCCTGCCTCAACTTTTGTCAAATAATGATCCTGCTTTGCCATCATTCTTTCTACATTATTTTTTTTTTACATTTATTTACTAGATTGTGTGTGTGGCTGCCTGAGTGTGTGTATCTGTTCCACATGCATGCAGGAACCCTCAGAGGTCCTAAGAGGGTTTCAGATCCCCAAGAACTGGCGTTAAGAGTTGTAAGCCACCTTGTGGGTTCTGGAAACCAAACCCGGGTCCTCTGCAAGAGCTCTTAACTGCTGAGCTCTATGCACAGCCCCAACCTTCCACATAACTGGCTGGCGTTCAGATATTCCTTCTGTCCAGTGCTTGCCCTGTGCCTTGAATCATGTGTAAACCCAGGCTCTGGATGCTTGGTGTACATGTTAGTGTTTTGTCATTTCTTCCAGGTTCCTTTGCGACAAAAGTAAGAAAATGGAAGTCAGGCTTCATATACATACACATCTGGTCACATGTATGATAAAACTGTGGATTCCTGCCACTACTTACATTTTTAACCCACACAGTACTTCCAAGTTCTTTGCAGTCTCTCTATATACATCCTCTGTGGCAGTGAGAATTTGGCCTCTCATTTCCCTGCGCCGTTTCTTTTCTGTAACAAGTTCCTTGCAGTTGCCTGTCCCAGGAGTGTCTGTGCTCATAAAGGCTTATGTATTTTACTATGTGTATGCCTGCACTCTTTGCAAAGACTTGAAATACTGCTGTGTTTTTTCATTGGGTTTTTACATGTTCATTTTTAGTATGTGGAAATAAATACTTCAATGTAGCCTCATTGGACTCACTGATTCTGGGAAGGTATTTTATAAAATAGTTTTTGGGAGAATTTTTCTTTATAGATAGCCATTTTCAAAAAGGAACAAATTTCTTTCTTTCTCTAATCTCCATGCCTTTTATGTCTTACTGTGCTAGCTAGAATGAATAAGAGTGGACATCTTTGCCACCTTTCCCTCATGAGCATCACGTTTCCTCATTAGGCATATTAGCTGTCCAAGGACTTCTCCTTAGGTCATATTTCAAAGGTTCACTTCCTTTCTCATTGACTGAGAGGAATTAGTGTTGAGGATAGCTCTTTTTAATACTATTAGAGTTGACCTCTGAACTCCACACATACACTGTGTCATGTAGACATCCACACCCCAACACAGGAACATACACAAAGATTTCAAATTTTTTAATTAATTTTTAAAGATATATGTATAAAGTGAACAGATTTTTTAAGTTTTTAAATTAATTTTTAAGGACATATAGGTATAAAGTGAAATTTAATTTTCTCAGAAATTGAACTGGTTCTTATCTGTGGTCATAAGTCAGTGAATGTATTAATAGACTTTGGGTGAAATTAGATTGTATTTTTAATGTAAGCTTATGACAGTAGTAATAGGCTGTTCTTTATCTTTCCACAGTTCTTAGTGGTCTGTGTTCTAATGACTGTCCTCGTAAGATCACAGTAAGTAAACTTGATTCTTCATCACAGATATTTCTATGAAGTTTTCTTCAGGGGCCTGAGAGCTGGCTCAATGGTTGAGAGCACTTGCTGCTCTTGTGGAGGCCCCGGGTTCGGTTCTCAGCACCCACCCAGAGGCTAAGAGCTGTCTGTACTCTTCTTCTAGGGATCTGACACCCTCTTGAGGGCTTCTCAGGTACTGTATACACATGGAGTACATACATACATGCGGGCAAACACTCATACACATAAAACCAGTATATAAATAATCTTTTTTTTAAATTATCTTCAGGATAAGTAAATATACGCAAAATAGTCATAAGTTACAATCAAAGTTGATATTTGTATTTGGTAGTTATTAAAGTATCCATTATTACTCAAGGAAATGCTAGAATTTTGGTACCTCTCCATAAAAAGTTATCACTATACAACTGAGGTTATAGCTCAATTAGTAGAAGGCTTGCTAGCTAGCATAGCCTTGAGTTTGATCTTCAGTATTGCATAAAACCAGGCATGGTGGTACATGTCTATAATCCCAGTACACAGTGGGTAAAGCCAGGGGAGATGAGAAGTTCAAGATCATCTTCAACTCTATAGCAAATTTGAGGCCAGCCTGTGATCCAGGAAACTGTATCTCAAAACAAGACGAAACTAAAAACAAATGTCTGTGTAAGGATCATTGCCTTTACCGAGTGTTTTATGAGGCCCTCCCATTGCTGCCTTCCCATTTAGTTGTTTAACATGAGATGCCTGTCTACAGGAGAGTGCAACCCTAAAGAACCTTATTATTCACCTTTGCATAGCTGATAGAGAGCACAGAATCATGCACATTCTAAACAGTGTGTGTGTGTGTGTGTGTGTGTGTGTGTGTGTGTGTGTGTGTGTGTGTGTGTGTTGATAGGGCAGGCACACGTGGAAGTCTGCAGATAGCCTCCAGAGTTTGTCCTCACCTTTCCATCTTGTTGGAGAGCTGGGGTCTCTTGTTGGAGAGCTGGGGTCTCTTGTTTTTGCCACTGTGCTGCATACTCCAGGCTAACTGGCCCACATGCTTCAAGGGATTCTCCTGGCTCTGCCTCCCATCTTATCAAAGGAGTGTTGGCATCATAGACAGTAATCACTGGATTCGGCTTTTACAGGAGTCTGAACTCAGCTCTTAAGGCTTGCAAGGCTTTCGCCCACTGAGCAATCTCCCAGGCCTCAAAAATTATTAACCACCACACACATACACACACACACACACACACACACACACACACACACACACACACACACAAGTTAAAGTTTCCGAAGTCTTGGAGTCAAGTGAGAAATTTCAACACAAAGCTAGATGTTTTGATTATAGTCTCAAATCCTTACAATCCATTTAAAGCACTACAATTCCAATACTTTCATGTATATATAGTTGAGAAACTTCTGTAGTTGAGACAGCTTGACTGTACTTGGGAACGATAACTGAAGTAGTGAGGAAAGCAGGGGTTGGCAGGAAGAAAGAGATTGGTTTACAATGCATGGAGAGCCCTAAAACTGAGGCGATTCTTCAGACAGCCTCAACTGAGGCAGAGGGCGAGGGTCTCTCAACTCCTACAGTAATCAGATAGTGCATTCAGATGTGTGACACAGCTCCCTAAGCTGAGAAGAGTTGGTCAAGTCCAACTGTGATTTAGCAGCAGAATCCAGGAAGTGAGTGTCTTTGTCCTGGCACAGAGGCCAAAATGAAGCATCACTACATCTTCTACAACACCAAGGCATTTTCCATAAGCTAAGGATGGATGCAGAGTCAACAGTAGGTTTCAACTTTAAAGGCAGATTAATGAAGAAGCTGCATCTATTAAAGTAGTTACTGCTGCCGTATTCCAGCACAGTTGAGGAAGTTAAGGAGAAAAGATGTCATCCGAAGCAAGTCTGTAATTGTGGTAAAACTAGATGACAAGGCCGGGGCGGGTGGTGGCGCACGCCTTTAATCCCAGCACTCGGGAGGCAGAGCCAGGCGGATCTCTGTGAGTTCGAGGCCAGCCTGGGCTACCAAGTGAGTTCCAGGAAAGGCGCAAAGCTACACAGAGAAACCCTGTCTCGAAAAACCAAAAAAAAAAAAAAAAAAAAAAAAAAAAAAAAAAAAAAAAAAAACTAGATGACAAATGCTTGAGAAATTTTTGGTTTGTCATCAGTAGAACCTACATTCATAAAAATGCAAAGAAGACAATAGGGATTAAAACACAGAAGTTTCTCTCTCTCTCTCTCTCCTCTCTCTCAGCTCCGCTCCCTCCCTCCGCGCCCTCTCTCCCTCTCTCCCCCTCCCCCTTCTCGCCCCCTTCTTCCCCTCTCCCCTCCCTCCCTCCCTCTCTCTTCTACCTCCTCCTTCCCCTTCTTCTTCTTTCCTCATTTTCTCTTCTCTTCCCTCCCTCCGTGTGTGTCTCTCTCTCTCTCTCTCTCTCTCTCCTCTCTCTCTCTCTCTCTCTCTCTCTCTCTCTCCTCCTCCTCCTCCTCCTCCTCCTCCTCCTCCTCCTCCTCCTCCTCTTACCCCACCCCACCCCACTCAGTAGGGTCTCATGTCCTCAGGCTGGCCTTGAGCCTGGTCTCCACTGTCTGTCTACAGGATTATAGGTACCCCCACCATGTGCTTTGTGTGATGCTGGATCAAACCCAGGACCTCATACATGCTGGGCAAGCATTCTACTAGCTGAGCTACAGCCCAAATGAAGCTTTCTCCTTCGTTTTTTGAAAGTCGGTTTTGCTAAGATCACTAACATTTTATTTTTGTCATAAATTTTCAAACAAAAATTTCTCAAGCATTTGTTAACTTTTAATAGGATGTTCATTACAAGCTACATTTTATACCCTTTTTGATTAGAGTTGATTTTGAAGAGAGGAAGTCTATCATTTTATGTAAAGTTTAAAGACAGTTCTATAAATAGGAAATGGTATACAAGTTGAGATAAACTGCCAATCCAATTAGGCTCTGAGTTTCTCAGGAAAAACTGGAAAGTAATATTCTCTAAATGTGTAAAAGATTAAATGTGACAGAACTAAAAGTCAATATTTTCACTCAATTATAAATAGAATTTGACATTTTTGTACATTAGTAAGAAATTGTAGCATATGTCCAATTCAATATAAATATAACACGATGAGTGTGATGGTGCATGCCTTTAATCCCAGCTCTTGAAAGGCAGAAGCAGGTAGATCTGAGTACAAGGCCAGCCTGGTCTACAGAGTTCCAGGGCTATGTAGGAAGACTTTGTGTCAAAAAACTAAAAGAAGAGGAAAAAAGAAGAGGGGGAGGAGGAAGAAGATGAGGAGGAGGACAGAGGAGGGGGGAAAAGAAGAAGAAATGTAATGATAAAACCGTTTTCAGGCTTGAGGTTCTCTTAGTACTGGTAGTCAAACTCAAGAGTATTTCAGGTACTCTCTACCACAATCTGCATCCTTCACTCCAAAACTCTTGTAGTTTTGTTCCCTATGAAACCAGAATAATAAAGAAAAGTTTGCTTAAAATATTTACCCTTATAAAGTAGAAACATCAGGTCTTTAAAATACTCAGTTAAAATTCTGAACTATATAAATGCAACTTTCAAGTACTATAAGGTATTAGGAATTTTCTTCGGAGGCCAGTGAGATGGCTTAGCATGTAAAGACCAAGCCTGATGACATGAGTTTGATCTCCAGCATCCACATGGTGAAAGGGAAAACCAACTCCTGCAGGTTGTCCTCTAACCTACACACATGCACTTTAATACTCAAATGGCTGCATACACACACACACACACACACACACACACACACACACACACACACACGCACGCACGCACGCACACACGCATACACATACACATACAATAAATAACTAATTTTAATAATTTTCCACTAACCAGGTTTAATTTGAGCTATTATCTGTTTATGGAAATGTTCTTTTAAATAGCTACGATTATTTAAGACATATACATAAGAATTGGTTTGTGTAGCCAGGCTGCGGTGCCGCATGCCTTTAATCCCAGCACTCAGGAGGCAGAGCCAGGTGGATCTCTGTGAGTTCAAGGCTAGCCTGGTCTACCAAGCAAGATCCAGGACAGGTACCAAAACTACACAGAGAAACCCTGTCTTGAAAATCAAAAAAAAAAAAAGAAAAGAAAAAAGAATTGGTTTGTGCATGGTATGTACTCACTTCTAAGTGGATATTAGCTGTAAAGTAAAGGATAATCATGCTACAATCAATCCACAGACCCAGAGAGGCTAAGTAACAAGGAGGGCTCAAGGCAGGACTCATGGATCTCCCTGAGAAGGGGAAATAGAAAGATGTCAAGGGTGGACTGGGGATGGGTGTGGATGGGAACAGGAGGGATTAGTTTTGGGGGGGGGGGGGTGCTGGGAGAGACAACTAGAATTGGGGGGCTTTTCAGGGGTGAGGTAGAAACCTAATGCAATAGAACTCTCAGGAATCTACAATGGTGATCCTAGCAAAGTCTCCTAGTAATAGGGAATATGGTACCCAAACCAGCCATCTTATATAACCAGACTGGTGTCTAGCATAATTGTCATCAGAGAAGCTTTACCCAGCAACTGATGGGAGCAGATGCAGAGATCCACAGCAAATCATTAGACGGAGCTCTGGGAATCCTATAGAAGAGAGAAAGGAAGGATTGCAGGAGCCAGAGGTATCAAGACACTACAAGAAAACAGCCGACAGAATCAGCTAACCAGGGTCCCTAGGGGCTCACAGAGACTGAGCCAACAATCAGGGAGCCTGTATGGGGCTGGCCTACATCCTCTGCATACATGTTATGATTGTGTAGCTTGAGGTTCCTGTGGTACTACTAACAGTGGGGGCAGGGGCTGTCTTTGACTCTTTTCCCTACTTTGGGGACCCTTCTCCTCCTACTGGGTTGCCTCGTCCAGCTTTAATATGAGGGAATGTGCCTAGTTTTATTTTAACTTGATAGGCCATGTTTGGTTGATATCCCTGGAAGGCCTCCCCTTTTCTGAAGAGAAAGGAGGAGGAGTGGATCTGGGGTTGGGGGTGGGAGACTTGAAGGAGAGGAGGGAGGGAAAACAGCAGTTGGGATGTAATTTATGAGAGAAAAATGAAGAATTGGTTTGTGGCTGCTGGTAGATTGTCTGTGTTCTAGTAGATGCCCCTCCCCACATACGCACATGCATAAGCAGGCAGCACTGAAGTTTTAGACTCATTGGGCTCTTTAAAAAGAGGAGAACACAAAAGTGGGGTGAGGTCTTGGGTCTTTGGAGCTAGGAATTTGAGAGCCAGGTTGAGTATGATCAAGATACAGTTTATAAATGTATGAAAATTTCTAAGAATAAATATTCTTCATTTTGGTTTTTTTTTTTTTTTTTGGTTTTTTGGGGTTTTTTTACTATATAATAAATTTTCCTGAAATTCAAATCATTCACTTACTTTCCAAGACCAACCATTTCCTTTCTTATGCAGCCCTTTGGAGTGAACCAGCCTGGACCGTATATCATGTACACAACAGTTGATGCAAATGGCTATCTGAAAAACGGCTCAGGTAAGGCGTGTGGGATGTCTACAACATGCAAGGCATCTTCTTTCAGTATATTGGAGAGGCGAGCTGCTGTCACAATTATGTCACAACCCTGAATACAATTTTCTCTCATTGCACTTTTTCTTTATATACATAAACAAATTTTAAGAGCTATTCAGGACAAAAATGTCAACATGTATTCCTTCATTTATTATTACTGTGATGAACCGAACCCTTCTCCTTATTTCTCAGCTGAAATAACAGAAAAGGAGAGGTAACTTGACTTACCTTAAAGATTGAAATGATAAATCATATAAACTAGCTCATTTTAAGAAAAGTAAAAGCTAGAAATCCAATTGATACTACAATTTAAATTAATCCCATATTTTCAAATGTGGAATAAGAGGTCTAAAATTTAGAGAGATGTTTTTGATATCATTTTATAAAAGCACAGCTTCCTTGTCCATTGCAACAAACACTGTGGAGAAATTCAGTCAAGACAAAAAGGAAACAGACCAAAAGATGTCTGCATGTGACTGGTGCCTGAACTTCCTTTCAAATTACAGTAAATCCAACTACCTGCATAAAGAATAAAATCCCAACATTAGATGATTTCTTGAGAATCCTAGAATCTTGCCCATGAAGAAATATAAACAAGCTTAATATAATAACCAGAAAGAATGTGTTAGAGGCCAATTTGGTATTATATAATTGCCTTACATAAATTAAATGTACTATAATGAGTTTATTTTGTAGCTAATTATAAACATTTAAGAATTCATTGTGTGGGTGTGGTGGCATACTCCCTTTAATCTCAGTTTTCAGGAGGCAGGGGCAGGCAGGGGGATCTCTGTGTGTTCCAGGCTAGCCTGGTCTGTGTAGTAAACTAGACAGCCAGGGCCATGTAGAGAAACCCTGTATCAAAAAAAAAAAAAAAAAGGAAAGGAAAAGAAAGAAAAAGAAAAAAAAGAATTCATCATATTGCTGCTTCAGCATAGAAGCATTCTGCAAGCAAAAATTAAGGAAAATTCTGATAAGACTATTACAATCAAATATTTTGATATATCACTACAACAAAGAAGTCATTTAAATTTTAATTCCTATACATATTATATTTTTATTGTTTGCTAATTCTTTCTTAATGTGCAAATAATTTCACTGCTAAGTGAGATGTTGTGAGACTCATTTTTATTTCACAATGCTGGTAAACTCAAGCAAATTAGCACACTCCAAATCCAAAACTTACCTCCACTGGTGAATTCTCAGTGAAACTCATATCTACACATTAGCAACTTAAATCTACTTACACTTCAAAAACTACTTACTTCACACCATCAAAAAAGTGATTGTCTCAGGACTGTGTTATTAATTTTAAAATGAGAAAATCTCTTACTTATCACAGCTATACACCAATATCTTAAAGTCCTGTATTATCACATTTTTTTCTTAAAATTATATGCCATATATGTTTTTGTATGCCTATTCATAGGAAGTCCTGATTTCTTCTGGGCTTTTTGTTATGGAGATACAGTAGCTATGCTGGTCAGCCTTCTACTGTATTTGCCTCTTCATTACATTAAGACAGTGCAACAATAAACATCTGTTGGGAGCACAGGGGAGAGCACATACAACAATGGGCTAGACATAGAAGAAAATAAGGGCATATGAATGTAGTGTCCAGTCGGTAGAAATGCACTAGCAAGTTGGTACTGTTACAAGTACATGCATGAGCACTATCTGAGGCTCTACTCAACTTTCAAAATGAAATATTTAAACACTAACAACTAGAAGCACTGCCATAATGAGAGAATTCTTGGTGGTGCTGCCCAGAAAGTACCATAGTAGAGCTCATATCAGGACTCTTTTCATTGTATATTTTCATTGTACAGAATACTGTGTTACAGTAAGGATATTCTCATATAAGCACAAATATACACTGAGCATACCCATATTGTACTCCCCACCACTCCCTCCATGTTTCCCCTAGACAGGGTTGCTTCTACTTTCATACATACAATATTGTATAAAACCAAAGAGCACAAAATGAGAGAAAATATGAGATATTTGTCTTTCTCAAATAGGCTTAATTCATGTAATATGGTTATCTCCACTTGATTCCACTTGACTCTAACAGCATAACTCCATTGCTGGAAGAAAGTCCATTGTGTATAAATAGTATATTTTCTTTATCCATTACCTCTGTTGTTGGACATTTTGGTTGGTTCCATAGTTTAACTCTTGTGAATAGATCTGTAATAAACATGCATATGCAAAATGAATTTATAATGCATAGTAAGGATCTCTATGATGTATTGGTGTGAAATTCTTTGGATAAATAAATGCACAGGAGTGCTATACCTGGACTCTGTGGTAGTTGTAGTTGTAGTGTCTTGAGGGACCTCCATACTGATCTCCAAAGCGGCTGAACTTGTTACATTCACACGAGCAGACTAAGTGTCCCCTCTGTCCACATCCTCACCCGCGCATTTGTTATTTTCTGCTTCAGCTAAGGTTTTTCTGTGAAATTTGCTGTTACTCAATGAGATTGCCTTTTATATTACTTATTTCTCCTGCAGCTTTCAGTCAGGACATGTCCTTTGTTTTGTGTATTTAGTGTTTTGACTGTGATGTAGAGAGGTTTTTCTCTGGTGGTGTTTCTTTGGTAGTCTCAATTCTTCCTGTACCTGGATGGACATCTCTTTCCCAAGATTTGGGAAATCTGCTATTGTTTTATTGAAAAATGGTTTCTCCCATAAAAATTTAACAAGGTTTAGAGGGTAGAATGGCTATAACTTGAAGATGTTTTTCATGCCATTAGCATGAAATTCTCTATGTCTGTGAGTCATAGATTTGATCATTTACAGTTTCCCATAGATCTTGAGTGTTCTATTCATAGTTTATCTTTGCAGTTGTGTAACTGTTCAACCCGTTCACCTTAAGGTTCTTGCCTGCTTTGTGGTCAAGTCTTGACTCTGAGCATTCCTTTTCTGTCTCCATAATGCCTGTCACATGCCTGAGCAGTTCTTTGTAAAGACATCATGATGTTGATCCCATTAGTGGACAGCTTTTTACCTGCCAGGTCAGAAAGGCTAGTCATACCACTGGTCTAGTTATGAATATTGTACCCACCCTGGGAAGTCCTTCAAGATATCAGGCGTGCCACTTGGAACCTGTATTGCCATACAGACTCTAGCTTCAACCAGGTTTCTACCTTGCTGAACATGGTGTGCAGAACAAACTCAAGAGTGTCTCCTCCATAGTCATAGGCAGGAGTAGCTCCCCAAACATATCAGTCCCTCTGTTGGACACTAGCTTTTTTCAATGTTCTGCTTTTGTAAGTTTTCCTATTTTACTTTGCTATTAAACTAGATTTGGGGGCATTACTCACCTTTCTATGGCTGTTGTTCGACTTTCCCCAGTGTTCTCCCTGAAGAGTCTAGCAGCCTATGCCTGCTTGTATCTGCCATTTTCCAAAATAACTCCAGACTAATTTCTAGTAAAATATTTAGTCAATATAGAGCCTAATGCTGAAAGAACAACTGTCACATGAGAGCTTTGGGAATAGGAAGTGAGAAAAGGAATATTATTTATCTGTTCTGCCGTCTCTGCTAGCAATGTGTTATTATCTACACTCTGTTGAAATAATTCCTTTACTGTGTAAGTGTGTTTAGAATGAAAGAATCTGATTATATCTCACATTGCTCAGTAACACTGCTGGTATGTTCCTTCTTGTTGTAGTAGTTCAGGACTTGGCTATTGTCAATATACCATGTAAAGCAACTGTGTGCTATAGTAAAGGTTGAAACTCACAGACGTGATGATGTATAGAACTGTCTGAAGCATAGGAAACACTCAGCACAAGTAGCATGAGACTATTCTTTACTGCAGTTAACTATAAGTAATGCAATATAAAGAATCATTTCCTATAAAGTGAGCTTAAAAATTAAGTAGAATAGGGTAATATATGTACAAAATAAATAGGTGTCCATCACCTTTATTAATTTTTAACCTTTATCTTAAGTTTATTAGAAGCATAGTACTACAGTTAAATGAGGTAGTGAACTAAATTTTAAAACATAAAATAAGGGGAAGTTACTAATTGAATTGTATTGTTTGTCATCTGACTAGTGGGGATCTGAGATTTCAATCTGGCTCTACCCTGAAGCAGATTCTGTATTTTACTTCTTTATGCACTGTTCACTACAAACTTGACAGTAAACATACAGATCAGTGCCAACAACAGAATCAGAGGCAAAAACAAACACCATAGTACAGACTTGTTCACTGTGCCTACATAGCATAGTGCCCACAGCTCCCGTCCTCACCCGTATACTGACCACAGCATGGCTCTGTAATTTTCTCCTGTTCCCACAGCCTCTGACCTAGTTCACTAGAAAAGTTCCCATTTCATCTCTAATATCAGCAATTAACATTCAGGACATTGAAATAACATAGAAGCTTAGTTGTAGAAATTAATCTTTCTAATGCAAAGCTTAGTTTCAATCCAAGTGCCTTCTCCCTCACTGAGAAGTGAACCCTGAACTTCTTACCATCATATTCACTTATGTTCCCTTTATGTGTGTTATACGTGTCCAGCTTGATTTCTGGTATATCTAATCCATCTCCGTGTCCCTGGCCCTTTTTCATCTTTCTAGTCACAACCTTTTCTCCATCCCTATGCCTCAACCCTTTTATTTTTTATTTTTTTTGGTTTTTCGAGACAGGGTTTCTCTGTGTAGCTTTGCACCTTTCCAGGATCTCGCTCTGTAGACCAGGCTGGCCTCAAACTCACAGAGATCCGCCTGCCTCTTGCCTCCCGAGTGCTGGGATTAAAGGGATGCGCCACCACTGCCCAGCGCCTCAACACTTTTAAGTCTGACCATATAGCTAAATTCATTCTACCAAGTGTCAATAGAACTTTATATTGTACCTTTCTATGATGTCTGCCATAGCGTAGAGAGAGGCCCTATATCACTTAGTAGTTCTCCATCTTAACCTCCCATGAATCCTCATTGAGGACTGGC